TACGGTAATTCAATAGGTGCTGGGATCTGCCCTCACCAAAAAGCATGGCACTCACTGCCCAGGGTGAATACTAACACTGCACAAAGAGAAGCAGTAACAGCAAAGTCTCCATAGAACTCTTTCTATTTATTTAACTGTGTATGAGCATTCAGTTAATGCTCCAAATTGAAAACAGTGCAATAAAAGCAACTTTCAATATATAAACAGACAGGAAGCTGCAATGCCAGTGGCCACTTGGCGCTGCAAGTAGGGAAAATAAAGCAGTCTGCATGAGTGAAGCATGGATTGGGGAGAGGAGAAAAGGGAGGCACAGGAGGTAGATTTCAGACAGACAGTGACACAAAACTGTTGTACTGCTGGATGTTTCGTTTGAGGATGTCTGAGCATGGGCCAAGAACACATTCAAATCTAGGTCGGTCCAGCTTAACGCACTTCAAGGGGCCACGAGCAACGACTGTGGCAGCACGAGGACGATTCATCAGTAGTGCAATTTCACCAAAATAATCAGAAGACCCCAATCTTCCCACTTCAACAAACTCTTCATTTTCTGACCGACGTTGTAGCATAGCAGCTGACCCCTCTAAAATAATGAAGAACTCATCCCCTGGTTCTCCCTGCACCACAATCTTCTGCCCATCTTCAAACTGCACTGGTTCCAATGCATCAGCTACCGTAAGACGTTCTCATTTGTCCAGAGACTCTAGAATAGAGACTTTACTGAGGAGCTCCTCATACATCTTCCGCTTTCTCAGTGTGCTTCCCATGAGGATTCTTCTATAGCTGTCTTGGTCGATGCCCCACAATTTCACATTTGTCTTTGCTTTGACAGTGGCTGCTCTAGGTGTTCCATAAATCAAAGCAAGTTCTCCAAAGCTCCCTCCTTGCCCAACACTAGTTGCCCATTCATTGTTGACATAGACATCCGTCTCTCCTTGATCAATCACATAGAAGTTATCCCCTTCATCACCTTGCTGAATCACAGTCTCTCTTGCGATAAAGGAAACCGAAAACATGGCATCAAAAATATCACTTCTCTCATTATCATCAAGATGTGAAAACAGCACATTCTTCTCAATGGCTTTGGCTAAAGCAGCCATCGTCTTGTAATCTTTTGGTATAACCTTTCTAACATATGATGTGGCATCTTCCTCTGTGTAGACCTCAGCGCTAATAGCCCTCGTCGCCTCCGACCTTTAACCACTGGGTTGGGTGGAGGAGGAGAGATCTCATCTTCCCTTGAGTCTGTATGAGTGCCTGCTTTCTGCAGATTCTGAATCTCTTTTGCCTCCTCCTTCTCCAACCTCTCAAAGTATTCCCTGAGGAATGCCATGGGTCTCTCAGGTCGAGCAGTGTACAACTGCACAATAGAATATTTGAGCAGTGCTTGAATGTTATGCTTCTGGACGTAGAGTTTACATTCTTGAAGGCTGCGTGCCTCCTCGCTGGCGGCAGTACTGCCAGACTCCATGGTTCTCTGGGGATGGGCAGCGGCGGGCGCGAGGCTGCGGGTGCGAGGTGCCTGCGTACCGAGCTCCCTCAGCGCTTTGCTCCCAGCCCCGCTCCACTCTGCGATAGGGGCTAGGCGACAGCTCCACCGGAAACGGCCCTAATTATATATTTCTATGTCTCTTCGCTGTCCCCTCACTCATACGTACTTCCTAGCCTTTGGTATCTATCATTCTAATCCCTACCTTCTTGAGATCAATTTAGTAAAGTAGTGTGACTATAGTTAACAACAATGTATTGTATATTTCAAAATAGCTAGGAGACAGGACTGGAAATTTTCCCAATACATATAGATAATAAATGAGGTGATGAATACCTCAAATACCTTGACTTGATCATTACACATTATATACATATAAGAAAATATCACATGTACCTTGTAAATATGTACAAATATTATGTATTGATAAGAAATTAAAGTTTAAAACACCTTTACAAATTTTATGTTACATTATACATATACACGGCCCAGTGTTTTTTCCATGTAACTATTAATGGGCCATGAGGATTGGGAACGTAAATAGGCCTTGAACCCACATAATTCCGAGTTTGAGTCCAGTCTCCACCATCTTCCAGCTTTATGATGATTGCCAGGTTATTTAACATTTCAAGACCTCAATTTCATTGTCTACAGAATTGGAACAGTAATACGCACCTGATAGTCTTGTTCTTTGGGTATTTATAGTATTCTATTGAAGGCAATGAGCTATTTAAATTCAGAATACTGCCATTACTGTATTTGGAGGGTTGTTGTTTTTGTTTTTTTGTTTGTTTGCTTTTTGTGTTTTTTTTTTTGCTATTTTATATTATATTTCAAGGATTATTTTGTTAATTCTTTTCAGTACACAGAGAAAGCAGATACTTGATAATCTTTACAAGGACAGGATGGATGGCCATCTTTCTGATCACTCTATCTTTAGGGCCAAGCATAGTGTCTGACTCATGACAGATACTCAGTAAGTATTTTTGGACTCAACAAGTGAAAAAGCATTTATGCATTTTGCCTTTAAGTTATAATTCAGCAATTTAGAACAATTGTGAAATGCTCAGATTAGTACAACAAGTGCATCTTATAATTCTTTTTAGTATAGGAAGTTTTAACAGTCTTGAGTGACTAGAGCAAACTTTTAGCAAAATACTACCTAGTGGAAGTTTCACTGAGTCATCCTGAACATGCCAGCAGGCTAAGCTCTGAATAGCAGGTCATTTATATATTGGCAAATTTCTAAATATTAGAAAATCTTGAAAATCTCTAAGCCTTGTGGATATTTTAAGTTTTAATTTACTTAAGAAATACAGCATCTTGGGCTGGCTAGGCACTACAGAGAAAGGTGAGTAATCTGAATAAGCTAATAATGTAGAAAGAAAGAGCAGACATCCAGTACCAGGTTATAGATGCTACAATTGAGGTTTGAACAGGTTGCCAGGGAAGCCGAGGGCAAGAGGTATAATCTTACACTTGGATGAAGTGTGGTATCCTGGGGTGTAGTGAAGTGACAGAATAGTGCCAGGAAATGTATCTTAGAGGTGTCAACTGTTGGAGCTGGGTTATGAAGGATAGCTAAGATTTAGTAACTAAAATGAGGATGTCACAGGCAGAAGAAACAATATTTGAAAAGCCCTGGGTTGAGAGAAAGAATGCCATATTTTGTAAACAACAAGGCATCTATATAGGTGGATTTTAGATTAAAGGCATGTGGAGAAGAAGGTGAATTAGGCCTAATATATCAGGTTCAGGAGTTTGGATTTTATTTATCAGGGCATAGTGAAAATAACTGTGCCTTTGTCCTGATACATGCTTTGGGTCTCCAGTATATGTATCACTTATCAAACTGAACTGTAATAGATTGACATTTTTAGGCCTAGATTACTATGGTTTGTAGGACCAATGTGATTTACATAATGCTCCCTAATTTGTTGCAATTCTGTGACTTTGATCTATGACTATAATAATTATCATGTTTTGCACATGTATGTTTATTGAAGCACTAGTTAAAATAGCAAAGACATGGAACCAATCCAAATGTTCATCAATGATAGACTAGATAAAGAAAATGTGGTACATATAAACCATTGAATACTATGCAGCCATAAAAAGGAATGAGATCATGTCCTTTGCAGGAACGTGGATGAAGTTGGAAGCTATCACCCTCAGCAAACTAACACAGGAACAAAAAAACAAACACCTCATGTTCTCACTCATAAGTGGAAGTTGAAAACTGAGAACACATGGACACAAGAAGGGGAACAACACACACTGGGGCCTGTAAGGAGGGTGGTGGCTGAGGGGAGGGAGACCATTAGGACTAATAGCTAATGCATGTGGGGCTTAAAACCTAGATGACCAGTTGATAAGTGCAGCAAACCACCATGGCACACATAACTTGTATAATAAACTTGCACATTCTGCACATGTATCCTGGAACTTAAAGGAAAAAAAATTATCATGTTTGTATCCTTGCTTTGTGCTGCAACCTTTCACAGCTTTTAGTGAGCCCACTTTGGTAACCCCTCTCCCAACTTTCTAAATTATGTTTTCTATTCTGCTATATACTAACAAATTAAATCATTAAACTTGCTAGAATTATGTGTGAATTAAGACTAAGTTCCATGTAAAGATATAGAGTACATTTGCTACCATAGGTCTGCTTTTGTCCATGGCAAACAATGCCAATTGATCATAGTTTCTATTCTCATAGAGTCGATTTAAGACCTCAAAATTTCTTCTTAACACAGCTCTGTGTTTCAGGCAGCTATTACCTAATTAGTAGAAGTTGTTAAGAGTGATTAACTCCAGTTTTTATGACTAGTCTAAGAACTCTCTTTTGAGTACATTTTGTGAGTCTGAACGCAGGAGCTATTTGATTTCACAGATTTTCTTTGTTGTTTAATTTCCATGTCTCAGCTATGGTCACAGAGGTGAGAGTGTCAGAGAGTGCAGGTGTTCCTGCTCCAAGCACTACATGTTCATGCAGTTTAATTGCTTAAATTATTAAGTAGATTAAACTTTTAAATTAAAGCCTGGCCTACCAACAAAACTTAGGCAACCAAAGGATTTTATGAGCATTCTTGTGATTTGGTCTAGGAAAAACTGGTCTGAGCATCACAGATTATTAAAACTTTGAAGTCCCATAAAATTACTATCTAATTTTACTCCACTAATTTTGTGGATGTGAAAAAAGATGACTGGAGAAGCTAAGTGACTTTCTCAATATAACACAGTGAAATCAAGCCTAGAGCCCAAGGAACTCAATTTTATAAAATCCTCTGTGTACACCTTCAGAATAGAAAAGGTAAACTCTAGTTAAAGTGAAATTATTCCCAAGCTGATTTCATATTAGACTCTGAATTAATGAGATTTTATTGTTTAGAAGTGTAGAAAATTTGACTATGTTTTCTTACCTTATGTAAATATCACTGACTGAAGTTATACGACAAAATGTTTTAAACTTGGGCTCCCTGCATTTTCTCCCTGCTCTAATTTGTCTTTCCAGGGGAGCTGAAGGAGATGTTGAAGACATCCTGCTTTCAATAAGCCAACCGGATCCTCCTGTGGTTAGTTCACTTAACTTTCTGTCTGAGGCTCCAACTGTCCCCTTGACATTGTATTGGCACAGTCTCCATTATATCATATCTCAGACTCAGTAAATTGAATACAAATATTTTATTGGTTGATTTATAGGAATAAGCAACATATCCCTGAGTTATCAGAAAATACTTGCAGTTGAAATTGTAAAAGATTGATATTTTATAGAAAACATTGTTTACTATCTCTCTGGGCACTAGGAAACATCCCTTAAAAAGGATAGTTTGCCCCTGTCTAAAACCTCTGTTTTGTTTTTCCCTGCGACTAATTTCTTGAGGTCGTTTTAGAAGTCCTGATCGTTATAATTGTTAATGAAATGTTTAAAATGTATGTGTAATTGTGTATTGGTAAGAGTTAAACATACATATGGAATGCCAATTTTTGCTAAGAAGCTTTTTTTGAGATTACCCAGTAACAGCAGATGTTAGGCATGCTTGCCTGTAGGTAAAATATGAATGCTTTAAAGTACTTGAATTTACTGTTAGCATGAGCACCTAAAATATGTAAAAGTGATTGACTCCCTCCTTCCCTGGATCCACATCTCTTCCTAAACGATAGAATGTAAGCTGCCACTGTGCTTCAGTTAAAATGGGGGCAGTCACTTTAACAGAGCCTTGTGTCCTGATTGCAGTGGTATGTGGCTGCTGTACTCCAACTGGTGGGGCCCATGCCCTCTCATGCAGGGAAACAGATGACCCAGGGGCTAGAGGTTTTGGATACACATTCTCCTTGTTCTCCACATATTGTGCCAACATTTAGTATTAAAAGTGTGTGATGGTGTGTTTCCTTCTAAAATTCTCTATCTCTTCTTTGGGAGTCTGGAACTTAGGGTGGCCAGTGTTAGCAAAATAGAGTATATTTGCTTTTGTTCACTCAAGATTTAATACAGAGGAAACTTAATCTTCATACGTTTTGTTTTCACATAACTCTAAATGGATTCCTTTGAGCTAGAATTGGCAGCTGTTTCCTGATATGTAATGGAAGCATATGCACCTTAAAGAGGATTTAGAAAGGAATCCGATGATATGAGGAAGATTCCCATTAAACAAAGTGAAATTTGACCATACATCCTTCATAGTATTTCATGAGGTAGAAAGAAAATATTGTTGAGAAGAGACCAATGTAGTAGCATAACATCTTTTACAGAGTAAACTTTTTAGGTTATTATCATGAGCACTCTTACTAAGTGAGAGTAATGCAGACTTAAGAACGTTTCTCTTATTATTCTTAATTAAAGACTAGTGACAGCACTAAGGCTGATGGTGAACAAAGCAAAAATATCTAGTATTGCAATGTATTTTTTCCTATCCTTTCTTCTCTTCATTCCATCATTCTGAGCTACATGGATCTTATGGAATAACATGATGGAGTAATGAAGGTCATCATGGGAGCCACAATTTATTGCTTAAATCAACTTAGAGCAGAATCATTGCAGGATTTGCCAATGTCAATATCCATGTCTTTACTTACCATACATTAAGTTATAATATCAGTGTCTTTAATTATTTCAGGTATGGAAGAAAATTCAGCTGAAATTTGCTAGAAAATGAGTTGTGTTGGAAAGAGACTGTAGAGACAGGCAAATGGAAGAAGAAAGCTTCTGTGCCCCCACAGAAACCGACTGAAAAGTGTTAGCATGAGCAAAAGTTCCTATCTAATATTATATGCTTTCCTTTGCTCCCAGGTAAAGTCCTGCTGTTTTGAAAAGGTTCTTTTCTTACCCTTGTCTTGCATACATAAAAAACACTGCCTTTTTTTCTTGACTGTCCAGAATGGTTGATACTGTTTTTAAAAGACTCTTTGTCCCCTTAGTTTTATCTTTAAAGTCTTTCAAGCTATTGGCAACTATACCAAATTTTCTATATACTGTTTTGTAGTGCAGTTTTTCACAAAAAGAAAGAAAGCGGCTTGATCTTTTTGGACTTGAGGCACTGATGAAATGTTCCTGAAGACATTTATGATATAGATACCCAAAAGTAATATTCAGATTAAAAGCCACTCACCACTAATGAAATCTGGATTGAATGTTTAGTTTGTTCTAAATTTAGAATTAATATTAATGTAGCTGCTGTTTCTCTCTAGATACTTTTATAGTCAATTCAAATTACATTTGTTTGGCTTTTTTCTCTTTTTAAATTAGGGAATGTCCCTCAAATGGGCATGTGCTGAGGTGAATATGACCATGTTTGCAAATAATCAGGGCAATTGTTTTTAAATTATTGCATAATATGATTTGGAAAATTTCTTCATCAGTATAAAAATATATACTTGGTCTAGAAAACATTGTCAAATTCATTGTTATTCTCAACTGTCAAAGAGTCTAAGTTGTACTGAATTCTCCTGTGTATGTCTTGATCTATACTTAGCAAAACCAGCTAAAACAGGATATACTATTCTTTTTTCATCTTACATTTCTTTGATTTCCATAGAGGAAAAATAATTTTTATATGTTCTCTGATAACTACCTTCTCTCAGCAAAACAATTTTTGTTAAGTTCTTTCCTGTTGCTCTAGCAGCCCCTATTGCTTAGTGCTGCTCTCTGATATTCAGATATCCTGTTGTGCCAACTGTTTTAAGGAAGCATCCCGTTGTATGCTATAATTAGCAAAGAATGTTCCCTTGGAACTTAACAATGGTCGTGTTAAAAGAATAAACTGAGATTCCAGTTTGTAAATTAGCTTTGTGGCTAGGGTATACATGAATACATTTGGGGTTTGATCACAATAGCTTGAACTAAAACACAGAAAGGTTTTTTTTGTTTGTTTGTTTTATCTTGTTTTGTTTTGTTTTACAGTGCAAAGCTGAGGACAAAACTAGAGAAGCAGTAGCTGTGTAGTTAAGCCAACCCAGTTAAATTTACTTATCTTGGGTGACTGAATGCCATACATACTATATGTCCAATACTGCTAAACACTGAGGGTGTTCTGGAAGTACAGATCTTCTGCCTCAGGGAATTTATATTCTAGTTGGGAAGTTTAAGCACTTAGAGACAGCAATAAATTGAATGCTAATGCATGTAATAAATAAGTACTGAGGAATGTAGAAAAGAGAAAAACTCCACCTGAACTTTAAAAATAATACAATCTAAATGCTCATTTCATGCTTAGAAAAATTGAGGCCCAAAACTGTTGTGGAACATGGCCAGGATCACACAGTTTTTAGCCTCATGGAAGAAACTAGAATCCAGATCTCCTGGCTCATTCTAGGCTTCTTTACACTAGAGGTGTCTCCTAATTTAAGCCTCAGTTATTTCTTTGACAATGATTTCAAGTCAATCCTTAACTCAGATGCTTATTTCCTGAAGGACTAAGTAATATTTTGACATAAAATTCCTAGAAACCCATTTAACACAATGAAATCTCAAAATTGATAATAATAAAATAAAAATTAAATAAAACATCTATATTCATTTACAGATGATTATTAAATATATAAAATTAATTAGTGTGAAAAAGCTGCTTATGTTTCTTTCAGATAAATATTCTGTATGAGCTATATCAACTCAGAATACTTAAATATTAATTCAGTGAAACTGGGAATGACAATACCTTGGAGCAATTCATTGTTCAAGAATCTTTGGACTGAATTCATAATTAGAGATTTCTGCTTGAATTGTTATTTGCAATTTTATACATATATACATATTTGGAGAGAGGCAGTTTCCAAGACAATGTCTTCTTCCCTGATCTCTTGCTCTCCCATTTCTATAGTAGTTAGCTGAGTCACTGTAGTTGCAGACAGGCTTGTCAGTGATTGCAACTGATAGCATAAGGAGGTATCTGGGCTTCAGTGTTAACATCAGCACAGTTATTAGGCAATCTAAGTGGAATTTTGGCCACAAGAGAGGGAGCACAAGTCAAAGTATTTTAAATCAGGAATTTCCAATATACTTTATTGGATATGAGAGTTGAAGAAGAGGAAGGAATCAAATCCAGGCCTAAAGACATGGAATTACTGTGTCTTAAACAAAAGTGGGAAAAGTAGAAAGGAAATTCTACCTCTGCTACTGATACAAAGAGGCATGGATATTGGCATTGAGGTGTATTGAGGCAATAGTGAATGCTTTTATTGGAATGGATCTTTGGCACACTTTACTTGATAGTGTATCTATGCCATTATGCTGACAGTCCACCTTGAGTTCACACACATCATTCTCTTCCTTTCAGATATCATTCCACAGAGGCCAGATCATGGCTTGCTCTGCCATTTGGAATGCTCTGAGCTTAAGCAGTTGTCTCAGCAATGCTTTTTATTTGTTTTTCCTTGAGGCCATGCCAAAGTAAAGCTCATTGAGATATAGCCAAAACTTCCAGATGTTGCTGGATGTTATTTTGTGCTCTCTGGGGAAAGCATTGTTTTCCAGTGAAACTCCTCAATTATTTTCTCCAAAACCTTTCTGAAAATTTTACTGAAATAAGTAAAAAATGGAACAAACCTTCAGAGATATGAGATTCTATGAGACATTGTTTCTGTGTCTCAGAAACATCTGCATGGTGTCAATCCCGAAAGAAGAGGCTGAAGCACAAAATATGATTGAAAGAGTTTACCTGAGCCAAAGTAAGGAAAGCTGCCTGGAAGACTCAGACCCAAGTAACCCTGGATATGAGCTCCATTTGGCCTTTGTTACAAGCAGGTTTTTAAAGGCAAAAAAGGACAGCCAGTGGGCTGTCACAAAGTTGTTTGTCAGGAATTTTCACTGGTTTACAGAAATTACATTGATTATTAATTGGCTATATATTTTTATGGTATAGGGTGTTGGATATCGTGTCCAGTGTAGCATTATTAGGTTAATTTGTAGCTACTTGTGGCAAAAGTTTGCAGTTTTTCTAGCTAAATACATAGCTCAAAGTGGGGGGAAGTAGGATGTGATTGTTATTTCATTTGAATGCCTTTCTGGGCCTGATAATTTGAAAGGCCTCACATTCCTTAGATAGAAGTTCTTTTCTTTACTCGTTTCCCTTTTTTGATA